TCGATTTGATAGATAGAGGTATCTCGTTTCTGGATAATTGAGCGGAACGATCGTATTTTTGGAAGTGACGGAAGATATCTAACTTTAGATTAGTTTTTATATTGCCGCGAATTTCAAGTTTATTAGGATTCTGGGATCACTGACGAGTGTTCAGTGGCCCGAGGGGATACAATTCTTTATCGTTACGTAAGTTATGCGAAATCACCTTTCATGGACGAATATCGAGGTACATGTATACATGTAATTTATTCGTATAGTATCGAGGAACAGGAAGTGTCATGTATCTCATTCATTCAATAATTTTACGACACTACGAATACATTGATTAATACATTCACATATTAATGCGTCACATAAAATTCCAAGAAAAATCAGGCACGATATTCCTTACGAATACGAATTTTACTCGCTTGTGTAATCGGTTTGTCAATCTCTGATAATAGATATCATCTTCACTTCACAAGCCGTGAAATTCACCGCGGAATAAACCAGAAATATTCAAACGTGCATACGGAATCGAGTCCAAACGGGAGATCCGTATCGACATAGCCGAAACAAGGGCGAAGAGATAAAGATCGAGCCGGAAGGGAAACGATCGATCGCAGCGGGAAAACTCACGCGATACTCGGATATGCGAGAGGCGGCAATTAGAGGAAGAAAGTTGGCACCGGTATTAAACGAGGGATCTCGTCGTTTTTGCTCCGCATTCATTGGCGATTCACCGCGAGAGGAGGCAACGATTGTTCTCCCTCGGAGCAGGAAGTCGCTCGCACGCGAAATAAAAATCCACGATGGTGAAAGTCGTGGGTTCTGTCGTTTGCCTTCGCCGCGTGCATCTTGATTCCCTGCCGTTGAATTGGCCGAAGTGTAACGTGACACAAAAGAGCTGGTTGTTGCGTACAGGTAGATAGAGGGGAGAGGAAAGAGCGAAGAAACGGCGAGGAACAGCAGGTGGCCAGCTGTTACACCTATGTGCGATTTACCTATGGACGAACGACCAAGGCTACCAATGGGCTTTTGGTCGCCGGTGAATTGGGTTACACTGGTCACGTTCCCGTGAAGATTACCGTGGTTCTCCGAGCCACGGAGAACACGGCCAACTCCTTCGTATCTGGGAACAGTTAGAAGTCGATGGTCCGATTAGAATTCCACGCAGAAGCGCGTATTATCGCTCGTCTGACCGTGACTCGGGCTGCCTTTCGCGTTTTTCACCGAATCGTTATTTTCTAGTGTTTCTATTACGCGTTTGCCTCGCATCCGCGAGGGATTATGTGTAACAGACGTCTCTGAGCTGCGTGTTGTTTCGTAACGGGGGAATAACTGTTTAATCGTGGCTATTTCCTCGCGTAGTTCCTCGCACGCATATTGCAGAATACGATGCTCTACTGTAGTAGAATTTTCCGAATTTACGGAACGTTGTGTTACTGACGTAATCTTGCAGCGGAGAGTAATTAACAATTTATTGAATGATGAAATTCGTGGAGATCTTCACATAACAGATTTTACTCGATAGTAATGCTAGACTCTGGAGGACATGTTTAACAACATGTTTACTAGAAAATCGTTGGGTAAGATTTTACGCTAGGTAGTCTAATTTTCTGGAAATTTTTGTAAAATTTTCATTAGCGTTTCATTCGCTGGCCAAGGGATTAGGAATTTTAACTAAAACTTACCCATTGAGAACGTCAGTTCGAGGTCCTGTGTGAAGTAATTACATTACGTATGCGCGATGTGTAAACGCTTGAAGAACGTTTGTTCTCGCTACAACATGCTACGTATCTTTTCTAATGATTTGTGCTAGGAAATAATTAATAAAGGCATTTACAGGGGACTTATCGCGAAAAACAGGCGTAAAATTTTTTTGTATTTCGAGTACTTGATTTTCATGCTGATTTAAATCAAGAAGCAATCGAACGGTGAGAATCAGAGTGCAGAGGTTCCACGAATTTTCGGTTTGAATAGTTTGAATGCCTTTTTCTCTTTCTAGTGTTTGAGTTAGTTTCTTCCTTGCGTTTAT